TACTAATTTACCAAAAGCATACTTAATTCGAACTAATGAACCAGGCTTATTATAATCCTAGCGCATCTAATTAATTCTTTCCAAAATGCATTTCGACCTTACTGACTATTTTCAATTGGATATTATACAAAAAACAGTCTATGGTAACTATTGACATTATTCTTAAAAATTATAATTTTTGTTCTTGCATTATTTATTGTCAAATAAATAGTTTTTAAACGAGTATTAAATGCATTAATTTTCCGCTAACGCAACTATTGTTAGAGTGAGAAATAAATCATCTGCGTAAAGAATAAAATGAAACGTTTTATCAAGAATTTAAATCCCATCTGATTCCTTCAAAAACAGTTGGCTTACATCCGATAAATACAATGTCAGATAAAAAAAAAATGGAATACAAGAAAAACTGAATACTCATACTACTGAATTTCACACCAATACGTATTATTCTATCTTGAATAAACATTTAAAGTACAAAACAAATGTGTATTATTTTAAAGTATCTCGCAAAATTTGTTTTACATACAACAATTCTTTTCTTCCCCTCAATATTCTCCTTTGTTTTACAAACAACATTTTTCAGATTTTCATCGTTTAATTCATGAACCTGAAAAACTGAAATACTGTATTTCCTATGTCAAAATAATGGAATCATTTGGTTGAATTATTAAAATACATGATACATGTATTTTAATAAGCATTGTTAAATATTAGCAACATGCAGATAATTTTCAGTATTTCGTTGATCTGCAATAACGGCATAAAGATAGAAAGGCGTGGAATGAATCAGTTTCTGGAATGATGGAGGGATGTTCTTGACTAAACGAGCTGTAGCTTCGTCTTCAGATAGTTGACTATAGTTGATTGCAATCCAGCAAATTGTTTATTTTGCAATATTCTATGAACTCTCAATCAGATTAAGATTGCAGAGTTGCCCGGCCTTGGTACAACTTTGACGATGTGTTGTGAAAACCAATGGAATTATGCTTTTGATGGAATGGACTTCACTAAATCATGCTAGAACACAAATCATCAGCTCCCTAAAGATCTTCAGCTGATGGTAGCACGAAGTATTCCAAGCTAATCTGATAATATTATCGTTAATGTTTGCATTTACATACGCAACACTACAAACACAATTAGTAAAAAACGACCCCAAAAAGTCACGCTTGCTGGGAATTTAACCGAAGTCTTCAAGCAACTTGGATTGTACGCTTCATGTTTTCTACTCCATACTTAAAAACCGTTATCATCAAAACCAATGTAGAAATGTGACTTGTCTGTAAATAACTTTTTATACCCTCTTGTCCACGATTCATGCTGCCTGCACTATTGTAAATGCTGTTTTTTCTGTCGTGGAGTTAATTATGGTTTAATCTTAGCGAGCCATGATCGAAAGCCTATTGAACACAACTGTTGCAAAGTAGTTGGCTGCTATATCATGTTCATTCCTAATTATATTAAATGCCTAATTACTCTTAATAGCAATAGTATCAATACATACCTTTAACATGCACTGTTCCAATATTTTAACGCAGTTGATAAACTATTTCATTTTCCCCACTCATCGAATAGTAATGAACATATTTTATATGCATGAAATAATCCATGGCTATGGAACAATTGCTTGCCTGATATTTTTATTTCTAGCTTGTTTTCGTATTCCAATGAATTATTTTATTACAGCAAATGTATTTGCAAAGAATATAAAACTCACTTTTTCTTGTATTCCATTTTTACCTTCCTGGCTGTTATATATAACAGACAGAAAGTATGGAAATCGGTAAAAAATGACCTCCCACGCCAATCCTTTTACACTTTGGACTAGGAGGACACTGAAATGTCGATCATACACGTTTAGAATTGAAATGGAAAATTTTTTCTAGATACTTTTTGGATTACAGTCGACCTCCTATAACACTGTTGATAATTCCGTTTTATATGAATTCCATGTTGTACGAGTCACTTAGATTTTACAAATACGTGAGCCATTCACAGCCTGGCACNTATACAACAAAATTGTACATATACATTCTTTATATATATATTTTCTTGAAACAAATTAATAATATCATTTAAATAAATTCTATAAGTAGAGAATAGTATATTATCCTCTATATTATATAGACCCCACTTTAAGACCGCACTCTTTACTTACATTTTTATTTACGACTAACATAATTATAATCTCTTTTATGACTAAAAATGCCGTATTTAATTGCCTTATTTTTTGTTAGCTATTTACAATGTAATGTTATATGGTTAAAGAACTTAATCTGAATTTATGACACTGAGCTTATGGGTATAGAATGGCTTGCTTTACGACGATTTTACATGGATCAATTATGTTGAAAAACGATGATCTATCGAAATTTAAACTTTCATATATTTTAAATTAAAGATGAAATTTCAGTATAACTATACTATATTATACCTTTTAGATATCGTTGAGGTATAGAAGTGTCGTATTGTTCGACGTCCACTCCAATGACAAAGTATTCACCATTCTCTAATAATCCTTGTTTTTGTAAACTAATCATCATACCAACGTGCTCGTAATAATAACCCACGATGACATAAACTATTAAAAAACATAAATTAATTACTATTAAAATAATATAATATAATAAAAATAATTAAATATTCATTTAAAATGAAGAAACGGCATACAATTAAACGATATAAAATTAATATTAATTTAAATTGAATGTTTAAAATTGAAAAATTTGTAACAATTCTAATACAATACTTGAATATTGATACTGGTTTCTTTAAAGTTAAGAAATAAAAAATGACTTTCTTCGATGTTCAGAAAGCAAAACTGTACTGTTTTGAATACGAAAAGAATTTATCTTCCTTCGAATCAAATATATATATACATGTATTACATATGCAGTAGCATATGGAAAATATGATACGAAACAAATTGAAGAAATGTATAAAACATAAATCAAAAATATGGCAAAGATGCACTCCAGCTGTTAAAATTGGTTGTTTAAACTTTCTCCACTACACAAATATTTATATGAACTTTATCTATTTTAATTTAAACGTTAAGAACGAGAGACTCGTTTACTAGTACAGAATTTCATCAGAGAATAAAATAACTTTTTTGAAATGAAGACAATAAATTCTGTTTTGAAGGAAACAAAAACTATATTTATAAAGTTTTTAAAAGAATTTTGAGATTCATTTTGAGGAAAAGCATTATTTCGATTGATTTTTTTGAAAATATCCCATTACATTTATACAGTTGAAGGAGCTTTTCTTATACTTCAAATGAAGGGTGAAACAAGAAACATCGTGACTTATTGACAAAATACATTTCTGAGGGGGGATAATACATCTAATTTATAATTGTCTGTATGAAAACACAATTAAATTATTTCTAAAAATAACTGTTTAATTATTAAAAATATAAAGTACAATAAAACTAAATTTAAGCCATATTACCTTCTCTAACATCGTGATTCTTTTGCGAACGTACTTAAAATTTAAATTACAAATTCAAATAAAATTAAAGCACTGTTATAACATTATTTAACCAATATTTAGATTATTGAAATTTTATTTTTATTTTAATTAAAAATATTTACGTAGAAAATATTACATTTTAATTAAGATCACATGCTTAACCGATGTTTTACTTGGTACAATTATAATTTTTTCAAAATAAATTATGAATTTTTAAATATTTTTAAGAATGTTAAGCTTAATAGACATATATTTGCACCATTTTATTGAAATAAAATATTAAAAAAATTATTAGTAGAAAGAAAATTATAAGAAGTTCGTCATTTCCGGTGATTCTTTGCACGGAATTTGCAAACTTTTAATTACGAAAAATTCATTGATTTCAATTAACGAAATTAAATACTAATTATACAATCAAAGAATGTATTTGAATATTAAAAATTCCTATTAAATATTTGTTTTTACTTAATTTTAACGATTATTTTATTCTTCATTTCACTCAATGAACATAGAGAGAGATCGGTTCTACATTATGAAATCTAGAGTGAAAATGATGCGAATTGACACGTTGAAGACATATTTAGCGATCGAATCGACAGAACTGTCAAGAAATTCCTAGAAAAATCACAGTAAATTCAGTTCACTAACTTGTATAACTTTATATGGTTGAGTTCTTCCTGTCTCTAATGCAATTCCTCCCGATCGAGATATAACTTACATTAATCATAAGTTATTCGTAAATATCATTTAAGTTTCGGAATTTTTGAAAAAATAATATAAATTCCTGTCAGTAATTAAATAAATTTTATAAAAATTTTACTTATTCTGTTTATTAACTTTAAAAATTATATTATTAAATTATTCATCATCATCATTTTTCGCCTATTCCAGCATACTTTTGCTAGGTCAGGAGAGCAAATCTCCATTTCCTCCAGCCATTCCCCATTTTTTCAAGGGTAAAAATTATTATTATTTTATTTAAATATAAATAAAATAAAATAAAATAAAAGTAATGTAGTAATGATAAGAAGTTAATAAAGTAAAATGATCTTGAATATCATTGATGATATAAAATGTAATTCCTCTCAGTTACAACAAATATACAACAAAATTGTACATATACATTCTTTATATATATATTTTCTTGAAACAAATTAATAATATCATTTAAATAAATTCTATAAGTAGAGAATAGTATATTATCCTCTATATTATATAGACCCCACTTTAAGACCGCACTCTTTACTTACATTTTTATTTACGACTAACATAATTATAATCTCTTTTATGACTAAAAATGCCGTATTTAATTGCCTTATTTTTTGTTAGCTATTTACAATGTAATGTTATATGGTTAAAGAACTTAATCTGAATTTATGACACTGAGCTTATGGGTATAGAATGGCTTGCTTTACGACGATTTTACATGGATCAATTATGTTGAAAAACGATGATCTATCGAAATTTAAACTTTCATATATTTTAAATTAAAGATGAAATTTCAGTATAACTATACTATATTATACCTTTTAGATATCGTTGAGGTATAGAAGTGTCGTATTGTTCGACGTCCACTCCAATGACAAAGTATTCACCATTCTCTAATAATCCTTGTTTTTGTAAACTAATCATCATACCAACGTGCTCGTAATAATAACCCACGATGACATAAACTATTAAAAAACATAAATTAATTACTATTAAAATAATATAATATAATAATAAGTATTTAATTTGACTGAGATTAAAGTTTATATTTTATTTATGAAGTAAATGTTAAATACACGATTTTAATATAGAAAACAATTAAATTTTTATTAATATT